CTTTGCAGGATCCTAAGGGTAACAATGAAAAAAGAAAATTTGATAGGAGATTTGGAGTTGAAGACCCCTTACTCTTTTAGTTTTGGGGTACTTTGTGTTATTTTCTATAAACACTCGTGGATGTTGGTGTTGATACTCTTGTCATTTAAAGGACTTCTCAGACAAGATTTGGTTTACTCGAGACAAGTAAAGGTTCAAGTGTGGGGGTATTTGATATGCACTAATTAGTAGTGCATAAATGTATATTTTTATGTTTGATCTGTGTATATTGTTTACCATTTTTATTAGTTTGTAAACATTTGTTTTATTTGGTTTGTAATTGTTTTTAGCTTCCATTTATAAGTTGTAAAGTAGTGGTAGAGTTTTTGGCAAGGAAAAGAAGGAAAAACAAGAGGTATGCTGCCCAGGGACACTTACCTGGTCAGGTAGGAATACTCACCCGGTCGGGTACGATTTAACAAGCGAAAGTACCTGGAAAATCACTGAACCCGGTCGGGTCCCCTACTTGACCTGGTCGGGTCAAATGTGACCCGGGACAAAACGACGTGCTGAAACATAAGAACGTGAAAATTAATCTGATTTTGACATGCACCCGGTCTGGTGGGCACTTGACCCGGTCGGGTACTCGGCCCAAGGTGTTGAAAAACACCTATAAATAGCACACTTTTCCTTCACAAATAATCATCCCTTCTTCCATATTCTTAAGCTCATTTTAGAATAGTTATTTCTTACATTTTTATAGCATGTTTAGTCTCCAAATGAGGAGCTAAACTTCCATTTCTTGGTGTTGCTCTTGAAGCTCGTTGGTTATTAAAGTTGTGAGTTATTTTCTTAACTACTTCCCTTGAATATTAATTCTTCCCTTAATCTATCTCTATATTAATGTTGGGGAGTGTTGCTAAGATGACAATTAGCTAACATCTCGACATTAATTACTACTAGAAACGATCAACGAACCGATGATTAATCGTTGATGGTTTCACAAGTAAGTAACTTCGGTTTATTAATGCACGGTCGTGCTTAATAAACTTAAGAGGGATTAATTTTGTTGGTTAAACTGAAACCATTGTGTTGAGGTTATCAATCTCAATTGATTTCATCAAGGAGTTAAGAGATTAAATTCTACTATTAAATCGGTATACGACGTTGTTCTATATTTGATTAATAGTAAGGGTTATTAATGAACGGTCGTTGTTAATAACTACCCTCGATGAATTGGAGATACTGCTCGATTGAGTATTCGAGAGGGGAGAAGTTATAGATATAACAATGATCGACTAAAATATATCAACAAGTGGAAACTAGCAATGCCAAGTTCTTTTTATCTTTGAATTAAATCACATATAAGTTGTTCATCTTGGTGTTTAAATTAATTAAATTCCAACAATCCCAAAACCCCCCTTTTATTTACTAGTTTTATAAAAAGAGAATTATTCCTTTCCCTGTGGATACGAACTCTACTTCACTATACTACGTATAAGTGTTAGTATCGATTTATTTTGACGCACCGTGACAAAGTGTTCGTCACCTACCGTACCCTGCCCCTATCCCCCATACCCGACCCGTACCCCTTACCCTTACACCCCCGGTGGGGTAAGGGTACGTATGGGCCACGAGTAAGGGGTAGGGATTGATATGGGTACAAAGTAGGGGTAGGGTGTAGGGTAGGGGTAGGGGCATGTGTAGTATGGGGGGTGGGGAAGGGGGGTAGGGGTACGAGTACGAGGGATAGTAAAGGGTATGGTCGGGATAGGGGTGGTAAGGGCTAGGGGTTAGTGGTAGGGGCCAAGTAGGGGGTATGGGTGGGTGGGGTGTACCCGCGTACGGTAAGGGTTATAGGGACATGCATATGTAGGGTTGGGATAAGGGTACGTGTACGGGTAGAGGATTAGGGGTACGGGGAATGAGTAGGGTTGGGGTTGGGGTCGAGGTGGGGTCAGGGTAAGGTAGGGACAGGGTAGGCGTAGGGTAGAGGTAACAATAATGGGTGAGGGTAAATTATGAAATTGAAAAAGTTTAAACTGTTGAGGATTGTATGCTTAATAAGCGGCACTTTAAGCACCTGTTTGGATTAGTAATCAACTTTTTAAGCAGCTTGTGTGTTTACTTCATCAGTCTTACAAACTTAACTGTGACTTTAGCAGCGAAGTAAACACGTCCTAAGAGTTGTTGGGAAACAATCCAACCTTTCTTCAAATTCGCGAGCTCATATGAACTCTTTCGTCTCATTCGCACACTCTAAGACACACTTTGATATAGACCTGCACAAAATCGGGCCTGCACGCCCAGCCCGCCCGCACAAATGGGCGGGCTTGGGCATATATAGTTACCCATCGGCCCGCAATAACATATGGGCGGGCTTGGGTTAGGGTGTAGGCCCGTTCGGGCCGATAAGCCCGGCCCGCTACATTTAGTATATATATACATACATATATATATATATATATATATAAATTTATTTACATGTACACATGTATATTTATATTTACTAATTTGTCTTTATACATATTTATAGTTTATTATGTTTAAATTTAAGTTTTTAGGCCGAGCCGGGCCCGCCCACATATGATGGGCAAAAAAATTAAGAAAAGCCCGGTCCGAACCAGGTTTTGTGCAGGTCTACTTTGATAATATGACTTTATATTTTACAATAAAGTTTACAAGAAAGATTGTACAAATATACATGCATCTCACTTTTCTCTTTGGATTTGGAACCACTTTAATCTTATTGACTCGCTTACAATTATGAGAATCTTCTTGAATTGTCTTCTATCACCCAATTAAGGAAACTCTTCGGTCACCCTCATCATAACGCATCTTTGAGTTCTCTATCTGAAGGAGGCTCATACCTATCTCTCTTCATTGCCCTTCTCATAGTCACTTATGAATGAGGAGTCCTACCCCTACTTGTAATATTCCTCTCTAATGTAATTGACTAGCTTTCTCTAGAACTATTTATACTCTCCAGACCTCTAGAGTCTTACAAGAAGTCTAAGCTATTTTAATCTCCGGGAATAGAGATATAGAGCACCTACATTTCTTCACAATTTTCTAGACACAACTCATTGAAAGAAACAAAACTTATCAAGGTAATATAATGGAGAATTGAGTGATAAAACTTAGAGGTGAGCATAAAACCCGAACCGAACCGGTACCGAACCGGTCTGTAATGGTACCGAACCGAATATCGAGTATTAAAACGGTTCTATAGATTTTTATCCCGAACCAAAACCGTACCGTTTGAAACGGGTACGGGACCGGTCCTAGATTTTGAGAACCGAAAAATACCGAACCGGACCGTTCAAGAAAAATGCATTTCAAATTTTTATATTTTTTCCATACCAATAAATCTCTCGTATAGACCAACAATTTTATAGCTCAAGTATGTATTCATGTGTCCCTAATATAGCAAAATGTATATGTATACATATATATTATATTATATTATATTATATTATATTATATTATATTATATTATATTATATTATATTATATTATATTATATTATATTATATTATATTATATTATATTATATTATATTATATTATATTGTATTATATTATATTATATTATATTATATTATATTATATTATATTATATTATATTATATTATATTATATTATATTATATTATATTATATTATATTATATTATATTATATTATATTATATTATATTATATTATATTTTGTTGCATACATTATTTTTTCTTTTTAGATAATTTATATTATATTTTGGTATGTATTGAAAAAATGATAGAGTTTTAGAAATTATTAATGACTATTCCTTTTTAGTAATGTAGTGTATGACTTTTTGTTGTATCACGTTTATGCAATTTTACAACTTAATTAATATACTTTGAATCTTAGATATCGCAGTTCAACTATTAATTTAATTAGAACTAATATTTAACCTAGAACAATGAAGAACATTGAATTTTTCTATTATATTCAATCATGTGATGATATTCTTTTTTAAATTTTCACGTGAACTTAGTAAATTAAAGATGATGTTTATCTCGTGTATCATCATTTTGCTATACTTTTTTTAGTCTTATTGCGTTATTTGTGTATTTGTGAATTTTAGTACTATGTATGCAATTTCTTGTAACATTTATTGTGAATTGGTTGGTGTGATGATATCTACTAATTGCAAGATTTGTCCAATTTTTTAGCATGTGTTTGGCATTGTACTGTACCGTTTTATATCGTTCCGAAACGACATGGTATCGAATGGTTCCATCCTTAGAACCGGACCGTACCGGACCGTTAGAAACCTCACGAATACATTACGAGTTTTACTAAATTACCGACTGTTCCGGACCGCGCCCACCCCTAATAAAACTTACTTGTAGAGTGTTGTGGGGGGATATGTCACATCACATGCTCATGGCTAAATATTCCCCTCGGAGGTGGGGCTTATTAGTCACTTTAAGGAGGCAAGAGATGTAGCTAGAAGGGATTAGAAGGATCTTTGAAGGAACTATAAATGAGGCACTCCTCTTACATTTCTAATAATTAATAACAACAAAATTTAAGCCTTAAATTAATCAAAAACTCAAAAGTAATAAGACTTTCAAGTTCTTCTGAAATTATATCTCTCAACTGCCCGCTCTCCAATTTGCACTTCAGTATTTTCAACCTCAACTGCCCACTCTCCAATTTTTATTTTTTGCCAACTCAGAGTTTGAATATTGGAATTGGTGATTTCCTAATTCAAGAGGCTTAAACTGTAGAGACTTGGCAGCATTTGAACTTGAAACATAACTTAACCAATATATTTAGGATGGGCGCACATAGTGACATATATTGACCAACCATATAATTATCCTTTCAAACCATTTGCACTACACCCTTTGCTTCACCAGAATAACATATTGTAGAACTTATCTCTACCCTAGGTTTAGTAAAATTGCAAATAATAAAATTAATGAACTTTATTGCTTATATGGTGCTAGTATCGGGTCAACTGCGTTTTTTAAATTTAATTTTTATTCTACTAGCATGGAAAAGATACTTGAGAGATACGAAAGATACTCATATGCAGAAAGGCAACTAAATCCAGCTGATCCAGACTCTCAAGTATGCTTGCCTTTACACAGATGTATTCCATTTTTTTTAAACATACTTTTAGCTTTATGATGTTCAGCCTTTATCTGTAGGGAAGTTGGTCTCTAGAGCATGCAAAGCTCAAGGCCAGAATGGAGATTTTGCAAATAAACCAGAGGTACCTTAATATATATAAGTTCACCTCACAATTATCATTTAGTATAACATCAGGTATTGTTATTTTTATGAAGTATCTCCATCCTTTTTTAGTTAGCCATCTTTACTTTTTTAGTTAATTATGGTAAACTTTGGTCATCACTTTAACATCTATATTGAGTGAAAATTATAAATTTTATACTTTAATTTTATGATAGTGTTTTTAGCAAAAAACCATTTCATATTATAAATACTTTCATATAAAGATAATAAACGATCAAAGTCTAGCATCATATATATTGATGATAACAACAAAGGGACAGCTGAAGTATATTGATTCATTCAGGGGCGGAGGTGGAGGGGTGGCCAACCGGGCCACGGCCCAGCTAGGGGTGGACTCGGGCCGGGCGGCCCGACCCGGAACCGGCCCGGTTACTGTTTGGCCCGGCCCGGCCCGGGGCCCGGTGGGTCCATCGGTTCGGTTTGGCCCGGCCCGGGTGGTGGGCGGTCCGGGCTCGGGCCCTGCTTTAGGTGAACCGGCCCGGCCGGTTCGGGCCCGGTTCGGCCGGTTCGGGCCCGGTCCGGCCGGTTCGGGCCCGGTCCGGGCCGGATTTTAATTTTTTTTTTTTTGAAATTTTTTTAAGTTTTGGGTTGGATTAGGTATTTTGGGCCGTTTGGGGTGGTTTGGGGTTGAGGGGGAGGGATAGGGGGTTAAATAGGAGAACCAAAAAAAAAAAAAGGACCGGTTTGGCCCGGAACCGGAACCGGAACCGGCCACCGGCAGTTCGGGCTCGGGCCCCAGTTTTCTGGCCCGAGGCCCGGCCGGGCCCAGGCCCGAACCGGCCCGGGTCCACCCCTAGGCCCAGCCCAAATTTTAAAATTATTATATTTTAATTTAAAAATTTATGTGTAAAAATTTATCTGTGAAAATTTCTTTGCATCGGCCCAACCCAACTCTTACTCCTGGCTAGGCCCCGGATTCATTAGTATACGAGTTTTTTTTCTAAAACATTACTTTAGTTCATATAAATTGAATAATAATATCATAACCACTAAAGGTTACTCATACAGTCATTACTTATATGTGGTTGCACTTTTGGCCCTCATATTTATTCTAGTCTCCTAGTATAGACTATATTTTCCATAATAGTTCATATAAATTACACCATCATATATACCCTCGAATAGTGGACATAAAAGCTATATATGTTCAATTCTCCAACAACTGGTTCAAATCAAAGGTTAAGTTGTTTCAACCTTACTGTGTGTATTTAGTAATTCTAAATAAAACTATAATTTTCTTATTAATAAATAAATCTATCAGAAATTATATTATAGGAAGGGGCAGAATACGAAAAAGGACATATATTAGTCCTATTTTGGGAATAAGAAGATTGCAGTTCTATTGTTGAATCTTGGCCTAATTTTAGTCCTATTTAAGACTAATACCCATTACTGTATTATTTTATGTCTATATGTCACTCCAGTCGCTCATGGCATCATTACACTTTTACTTTTTAGATGCTCATAGTCTCAGAATTTGTTACGAAATAGTTTGTGCCAAGTTTTGGCAATGCACTATGTGAGCATTTGAACCAAACAATAAAGCCTATGCGGAAATTTAATTTTCAAAAATAATCGTGCCAAATTCTATGCCTACTTAGGTACGAATGCTATATGTGCCAAATGCCAAATATTTGTGCTCAAACTTGTCTTTTTTTATAGTGAGAGCAGAAATCACTACATAGGACGTGTTTGACATTTAGCGGATTACGGATAATGAATTATGTTAGCGAGTTTTCAATAGCGAATTCAGTCAGCGGGTTTGACTAGCGAAATAAGTTGCGGGTTATCAGGAGATGTTTAGTATATACTTTAGTTGTTTGGTCATAAAATTAGTGCAAAACGCTCATATATATTTGCATTGTTTCCATTTCAACGTTTCCGTTCAAAAATGCTAGTGTCGAACATCTATTTACCAAACATTTTTTTGACTTATTGAAAACACTAAAATTGGTCAAACTGCCATTTTACAACTGAAACGTCATTTATTAAACACCCCCATAAAGAAGTATGTCTTACTCCGCTTGTAGTGATATACCCATAAGGATTTCTGTGGAATCCATGAAAATAAGGGTGTTCTCAAACATTCAATAGATTTCTATTGTTACTTATTAGAATGGATTTTGATGGATTTCTACATACAAAAACATTCGACAACAAATCTTGTAGAATCCATCGGATTTCAAAATTCACGATCTTTTAAAATCCATCCAAGTCCTAGTTGGATACACCCCCTAATTGTTAATGGTTGATTGTCATAAGTCCAAATGACTTTGGGGTGCTTGGGTACCTAATAGGATAGAAGGTCTTGTCTTGGAAAGATAACAACAACATGCAAGTCTTAATCCAAAGAGAGGTCAGTTAAAAAATTATGAATGGTGAGAAATAGAAAAGATAAAAAAGATAAAATGATTAAGTAATATATAAAATAATATATTGATGAGATAAAAATAAGTACTACCTATAAAACATGGTTTTGTCTTGGGAAATATTGGAGATTGGAGATAATTCTATAGAATAATATAGACTTGCAGAATTAAAGATAAATAAGTACTACCTATAAAACCCAACATTCGATATGTTTGTGTCTAAACATAAATACTAATTAAAAACAATTTATTTGAGTTTTCAATTTCATTTTCAATTTTCTCAAAAAAAAATTCATCTTGTACCAATTTGGCTCCTCTACTGGTTATAATGAAGTTATAACAAGTGTGGGCTATGTATGTAGGCATTATGAGGGAGAAGATTTGGACTCGTTAAACCTTAAAGAGCTTCAGAATCTTGAGCGCCAACTAGATTCTGCTCTTAAAAATATCAGGTCAAGAAAGGTAAAAGGCAAAAAAAAAATCACCTTCTTGGAAATTGCTTCAAATTCTTATTTTATTCTCTATGCAAAGTAATTCCTCTTTTGTTTGTATGTTTTTCTTGCAGAATCAACTCATGTTTGAATCCATTTCCGTGCACCAAAAGAAAGTGAGAACTTTTGTGTTTGTGTATTTGCACAAATTTTAACCCCATGCATATTTTTTCATCTCACATTTACCCCTACAATAAACAATACAAAGTAAAAAATAATTCGAAACACCTTGCTTGGGAGCAGGTGACCCCATTTCAGGAAGAAAGCACACAGTAGATGCTCTATTTAAGAATATGATGTACTTAATTATATTATTAGTGTAGTTTAAGATACGGTTTCACCGTTTCACAATATATTTCAAATTTTAAAGAAGGTTCCAAAATACTCTCCTCATTTTGTAAAGGGGATTAGATTGGATATTTTTCTTTTTTTCAACTTTGTTAATCTTCTAATTTTGTGATACATACATCTCATTTATTCCACAAACAGTCTCTTTGCGCTTTAATATATCGGTAAAGTTGCGTACATCCGACCCCCTTACTCCACCATAGGTGTGAACCTCTGCCGCACTGGGGTAATGATGATGATGATGATACATCTCATTTATTGATATAGAAATGATAGTGTGATCATTTAGTGCCCATATCTATACATATTTGACGAGTTTATTAACGTGTGTAATTTAACATAAATGGTGGATAACTTGAGTTAGAAATAACACGTTATAGTCCGAGTATGGAATTTATTTCTTTGAAAAGATTATAATGTAATGATTCATATATACTTTGGGCACTTGATTGAGCTCATAATATCATAATTAGAGTCCAAGTCTTTTTATTCATGCGGCATACATATGATTTGTATGTGTGAATGCATGCAAGGATGAAATATTAACTTGTGCCTAATTTTTTTTCACAGGACAAAGCATTGCATGATGAAAACAACAAGCTTGCTAAGAAGGCAATTCTCATTTTACTTAAAATGCACCCTATCTTTTACAATATGCTGATAGCTAAACTTACAATGTGGGGGTGGAGTAAGGAGAGGTTAATAAATTAGTAAAGAAGATAACATACATATTAGTAGAGTGGAGGCAAGTGATTAGATTGTTGGAATGTTTCCACAAAATTGGCCAAATATTAATGCTAGAACAAGTTATTGTTGGTGGTTTAAAAAAAATCATGTCTAACTGGTCCCTTATCCTTTAGATGCTGCCTACATAGTTAAAAGAGTACCCTACTTAGGACCATTATCTATTTCAAGAACTTTCATTCAAAACATCGTTGAACTTCATCTTGTGTGGACCATATATACGTTCCCTAGTTTGAAAGCTTTCGGTAATATTGGACTTCGATGAATATATAAACCACCAATAGATAACTTCTATGCTTAAGTATTTTCGTCAATAATAAAAACGCACACTTGAAAAATAAATTTCTAAAAAGAACAAAAATGCAGGGCACGTGATGAACACACGATGAAATTTGATGTTTTCTTGATTTTTTCAGATCGATCAACACTAATGAAATATAGGACAAAATACTTGAACAAGTCTTTTCCTCAGCATTCAACACTTCACTCTTGTGATATTTGTCTAACTTTTTCTACATTTTATCCTCTAACTATTAAGCTGAGAGAGACTTTGGGAGACTTGCGATTTTAGTCCTGTAAGTTCCGGCTATTATCGATATTGCCTCTGTAACTTTAATCACTTGCAAATTTGGTCGTGTAACTTTAATCTTTTGCAGTTTAAGGACTTTTCTACTGGAAAGTACATTTTCCGGCAGAAATTCCAACGTCGGCGATATCTTTTCAGGTATACTATCGCCGGAAAGTGTACTTTTCAGGAAAAAATCCTTATATTGCAAATATTGATTAGGTACAGGATCAAATTTGCAAGTGACTAAAGTTACAAGACTAATAATGAAAACGGTTGAAAGTTACGGGATGAAAATGGTAATTTTCCGAGAGACTTTTGATGACTGCATTTAATTTATTTTTCAGATCTAAGCCTTGCATTATTATGATTATAATATAATACATTTTGTATTCGTCTTTAAATTTTGCCATGGCCAGTGTTATAATCAAAATTATTACTTTCACAATAATTGAAAAATCAATATCTTCCTACTATCTTAGCTTGAAACTATTTAATGGACATAAGTCATAAGTTGTACATAGAAGTACACATATTCATTTATCTATCATACTTTGTAAGTATAACTTTACTATTCCTTATTTTTAGGTTGTAAGTTAGTCATTGTTATTCCTTCCTATGAGATATACAAATTTATGTATATATATATATATATATTTGTGCGTTGCTTATAATTGATTCATACTCTAACAAACTATTATATATTTTTATGGTGTTCGCAAATATGGCCAACACCGAAACTGCCTCAATAATTGCTCTTACATCCACCACCCATACCATTCCCATCAAGCTTACCACATGAGATTTCCAAGTCTGAAAATGCCGAGTTCATTCCGGGTTTATCATATTGGGTCTTGAAGATTATGTGGATTGTACTGTTTTTATGTCACATCAATTCATTGATGTCGCCGAAACTAAACTAAAATTGTTGTATTACCATCTGGTATCAATTGGACAAACTCATAAGTGTTGTCATTGGAATTAGGACAAACTTAATCTTGCATATGCTTAACACATCTCGTGGTTGGATCATCTCCCTAAAAAAATGATGGCTCACACCACAAAGGGATCTCGCTCCATTACTACCTACGTTGTGACAATGCAGGCCATTGCAAAATAATTGGCTTTAGCTAAAAATCAATTATATTGGAGGGTATCATCATCAACATTCTTAATGGTCTTCTTTTCGACTAAAGCGAACTATTATCATTGTGTTAATACTCATTGTTCTAAAATCAGTCTAGTCGGTCCAATTAATCAGTGCTTAGGCACTAGGCGGCCCCTAACTGTCGAGGATTAATTGGCCTAATCAGCCAAAAAATCTGCCTAGTCGGTGCCTAGTGTCTAGGTGCCCCTCAATTGAACATGAGACTCATCTTCAAGAAGCTGCCACCTCGACCCGGTCTCTCCTACCTACGGTCAATGTTATTCAAGCCACCACCCAGTCGTTCTCTCACACCAACCATGGCCGATGTTTTGGATATGGTGGAGACTATTGTTTTACATCATCTCAGTAATTCTGTCATGGTATATAAGGATCTCGGACTCAAGGGCCTTTCAACTTAATGGTGTGTCATTTATGTGGCAATGTGGGTCATGAGGTCAAATAATGTTAAAAACTTTGCCATTTCCTTCGTCACAACAACACAATACTCTCATCTGTTAGGAATTAATTTATGCAACACGAAGAACAATTAAAACACACACGAAATTTGGTAACCCAGTTCGCCACGAATGACTACGTCAGAGGGCGGTACCAAGCCAGATATATTATTGCTATTTTCGGATCCACACCCAATGATTACAAGGGAGAGAGCTTGTATTTATAGAGAAGTAAATCCTAACCCCAAGGTAACTAGGATGCGCTTCCTAAAATAAATAAAGAAACTTGTTTTCAAAAATAAATTAAGAAAATGTCTCTAACACCTTACAATCTCCCACCTAGAGACTGTCTTCTTCAAACCTCCCTTGTAAGCATGGTAGCGCCGGCCTTCAACTTCAAGTACCCAGGCTAATTAAAGCTATGCAAAGCTTCAATTTCTCCAAGGTTACCACCTTAGTAAACATGTCTGCTGGATTCTCACTCCCACGGATCTTCATAAGCTGCAATGCCTCTATCTCCAGAAGATGACGGATGTAGTGATACTTCAACCAAATGTGTTTGGTTCTCTTGTGAAAAGCTGAGTTGTTGGCCAAGAAGATAGCACTTTGACTGTCACTATAAAGAATGTTATTCTTGTACTCCTTCCCAAGTTCCCCAAGTAAATTCTGAAGCCACACCATCTCCTTACTTGCCTCCGTAATGACCACATATTCAGCTTCAGTGGTAGATAATGCAACAATCTTCTGCAGCTGCGAAAGCCAGGAAACAGTCGTTCCACCAAATGTAAAAACATACCTGGTGGTGCTCCTTGATCCATCCGAGTCATTCGATGTCAGGTCTGCATCAACATGTCCCAGCAGCTCTACATTCTTCTCATCAAAACACAAAGCATTAGAAGCAGTACCTTTAAAATACCTCATGATCCACTTCACAGCTTCCCAGCGTTCTTTCCCGGGGTCTCCCATGAATCTGCTCACTACTCCCACCGCATGTGCAATGTCTGGCTTTGTGCACACCATCGCGTACATTATGCTGCCTATTGCCGATGCGTATGGGACATTCTGCATTTGAGCACGCTCTTCCTTGTTCTTTGGTGAGTCTTCCTTGCTAAGCTTGAAATGACTACCCAACAGTACACTTGCTGCCTTTGCATCTTGCATTTTGAATCTTTCCAAGACCTTCAGAATGTATTCTGCCTGTGAAAGATACAATCTGCCTGCTGCCTCATCCCTCTCGATCCGCATGCCCTAAATCTACTTTGCTTCTCCAAGATCCTTCATGGAAAAACGTTCTGACAACTGTTTCTTTAGCTTCTCAATCTCCCTTGAACTAACTCCTGCTATCAACATGTCATCTACATATAATAGCAAGATAAGATAACAGTTCTCGGTCTTCTTGTAGTAGCGGCAATTGTCGGTGTGACATCTCAAGAAACTGATTTCACGCATGAAACCATCAAATTTCTTGTACCACTACTTCGGTGCTTGCTTCAACCCGTATAAGCTCTTCACTAGCTTACATACGAGATTCTCACTGCCTTCCGCCACATAGCCCTTTGGTTGCACCATGTAAATCTCATCATTCAAATCACCATGAAGGAATGCAGTCTTCACATCCATCTGATGTAACAACAAATTCTCTGTAGCAACTAACCCCAATACTAACCGAATAGTAGTAAGTTTCACAACTGGAGAGAATGTCTGTGTAATCAATACCATAACGTTGCTGAAACCCCTTCACAATCAGCCTAGTTTTGTAGCGTTTGCTACCATCTGCCTCCTTCTTGATGCGGTACACCCACTTGCAGTGTAAAGCCTTCTTTCCTCTTAGTAGCTCAACTAACCTCCAAGTATCATTGGATGTGAGAGATGTCATCTCATCATCCATTGCAAGTTTCCACTTGCCTTTGTCATCAACCCGAACTGCCTCTGCATAGGATTTCAGTTGTCCACCATCAGTAAGCAACAAATAGAAATTAGAAGGCGAATACCTATTTGGTGCTCTCCGGTTGCTGGCAGGCCGCTGCCTTGGTGGGGTTCATGGATCTTCATCACTGCTAAACTCTTCATTCTGATCCTGACTGCTCCCACCCGAATTGGAGATATCTAACTCAATGATCTTCGGATTATCTTGCTCAGAATCAGAAACACTCAATCTGTCCTTGTACATAACCTGCTCGTTGAACACCACATCTCGACTACGAATAATTTTCCTATTCTGATCATCCCGGAATCTGTATCCAGTCATCACCACCATAGCTAATGAATGTACACTTGACAGATTTAGCATCTAGCTTGCTTCGGTCAACAGAACTGATATGAACATAAGCAACACAACCAAATATGCGAAGATAGGACAGATTAACCTCCTTACCTGTCCACCTTTCTTCAGGAATGCCATTCTCCAACGAGATCGTTGGACTTCTGTTGATGAGAAAAGCCGCGGTGTTCACTGCATCCTCCCAAAACATCTTCGGTAAGCCACTCTTCAACCTCATGCATCTTGCCCGCTCATTCAGTGTTCTGTTCATGCGTTCAGCTACGCCATTATGCTGCAGAGTCCCCTTTGTTGTCTTCTCCATACGAACCCTATTCTCAGCACAAAAATTCTTACCTAACATGGAATTGAACCTGCTAGTATGAAAAAAGGTTTAATTGACCCATGTGAAAAGGTGCATGTAAGAGGAATATGAATCACTTC